CTAATTTTTTTGTTTTATCATTTTATTTTATTTTATTTATTTGAATATTTATTTTTCAATTAAAATAAATTTACTTAAAATAATTGATGTTCTGATGTATATGATTATTTCTGAGAAAAAAAAATAGAATATGATTCATCATTTCGCGCAAATTTTCATCCATTATAATTTTCATAAAATACTTTATAATTTTATTATTTTATTATTTATTATTCTAATTGATATTATATCGAATAGTTTTTAAATTATTATTATAAATTTATATTTAGAAGTTTTTAAAATTTAAAATTTTTTAAAAAATTTTAATAATCTCTTTATTATATAATATATTGTATTTTCCATTTCACAGATAAAAACATTTTATTGCTTTAGTAAAAAAAAAAAGAAAAAAAAAGAAAATAATAATTCAGTATAATAACTCTGTTTATAGAGAAAAAAATAATAAATATTAAATAAGATTATTTATAATATTAGATATATAAAGTTATAATTTAGGGAAACGAAAAATTCTTCTTCAGCATTTTTCTAGAGATGATTATTCAAGTTAACAAGAATTATATTATATATACGTTATATATATATTATTAGTTATGTATAATAAATCCAAATTTTTAAAAAATTATGAATTGAATAAGGAATTTTCATTCGTAAATAATTCAGTGCTATAATTTTTTTGCAAATTTTTATTTTTTCAATTAAAATTTATTGCATTGAAGATAGTAGACATGCAATAAAATTTTAAATATGCTCAATTTATCATATGTATCTAATTTTAAATATCAACAATTATTTATATTTTTTAAATCAATGTTGCACAAATTGATTTTTGTTTTATAATACATTTTTTTAATCATAAAAAAAATATTGAAATTTTGTTAGTTAATTTTAGATATTAATTTAGATATTATAGTTGATATATTAATAGTTGATTTATGGAATTTTAATTCAAATTGTATGAAAATTTAATTCACATTGTTTCTCAAATTTGATTCGAATAAAATCAAATTTTAAAATAACAACATTTAAAATATAAATAAAATGAAAACTTTCCTACTATTGAATCATATTTAAAATCTTAAAAAATGCGAAAGTGAGAGAAACAATAATTAAATCAAAAATGAAATGTATCTCAAAAAAATATTTTATCAATTGGAGCATTCGAATCAAAACGGATGTGAGAAATATGATCAATGGTTAAAATGAAAGAGGAAACTTTCTGGTATTTACAGTTAGATGATCAAGGCGTTGCTTTCGCTCGTTCTCGAATAGAATTCTAGATTTTTCATTTGTCTCAAATCCGTATCATTCACGAATTATCACATACTATCGCGTATTTTCAATTTAATTACAACTAATACAAATTCTTTATTTTTAAAAACTAGAAACGTAAAACGGTTTCAGAAATGGAGTTGGAAGAAATGAGAAAAAAATAATAGTATAACGAAATTCTAAAAATTCAAAGTTTAAAAACAAAATTTAACAAAATTTAAATATATAGTGATTGAAGTATGAAGAGTAAAAATGCTTTAATAAGAGTAAATTATGTAAAATAGAGTAAATGAATATAGTAATATAGAATTTAAGAATGTAATATAATAATATTTATATATTAATATTCATAATATTTATATAATTATATATTTATATAAATAATTTCATTGAATGATGATTTAATGATAGAATCTTATTTATTAAAATCTAAATTAATAAAATAAAATAAATTAATAAATTGATGATTAACAAAGAAACTATTTAAAACAATTTAAAAATTTACATAATATATATATTATTTACTATAATAATTATATATATATATATACTATAATATACATTATTTATAAATATTACGAAATTCAATATTATTAAATGATTTAATAGAATAGATTTCAATTTAGAATATATTGAAAAGTTAATTCAATAATTATCAATTATTTCTTTTTAAATTTTTATAATTCTATAATTTATCTTGTATATAATATTTTTAAATTGATTTTAATATTGATAAATTAACTCAATAATCATCAATTTTTTTTAAAATTTGTATATAATTCTATAATTTACAAAATATTTTTCAATTTTTTAAATCTAACAAATTATAATAATAATAAATTTTTTATAAAAATGTTTATAAAATATCTGTGAAATATTAAACTATTTTTATTGAATACATTTGAGAATAAAACTTTTGCAAATTGATCTCAAGAATTATTTTTTGCAAATAAACATTGTTGAGAGTAAAAATTATCATTTTTGCAATTTATATTTCCAAAAAATATCTCAAAAGTAATCTTCAAGAGTTTTATTCTCAAATATATTCTAAGATATAAAAGGATATAAATTTAACATTAAGATGAATTGATAAAATAAAATATGAAATAATGAAATATTGATTTATAGAGGATAATAGATCAATATGTTAATTTATGAAAAAAATTTATAATTTTTAAAATTAAAAATAATTTGCAAGTATTTATTTAATGTACAATTTCTTTGAAAATATGTTCCAGTTTCAATTTTAATTTTAAGTAAATTTTGTCCTTCAGTTGACAATTAAATTATCAAGGAACGATAAAGATAAAAATGAATCGCAGCATCCAAGAAGCTCGACGAAAGTGATTAATTACCGATGAAGTGTAATTAATTCTATCTGCAATATATTAAATTGCCTGACATTAAGGTTTAATTGCTGTTACGGAAGCAATAAAGAATATTGTTAATTTCGATTATTCTTTTTTTTTTATATCGTATTTTAATAATTCTGTAATTTAAACAATATAATGGATATTTCTTTTATCAATTTTTTTTTTATTAATAGTTCATTTTATTAAATGAATGAATTTCTCAAATTAAATCAATGAACTCCATTTTTTATAAATTTTTAAATTTTACATTATGCATGTCTAATTTCTTGAAAAAACAATTAAGTTATTTTTATAAGTTAATTTATAATAAACATATGATATAAATTTTAAAATAATAAATATTAAGAAATATTTTTAACATCATTTCTTTTTCTAACTTATAGCTGGTCATTTTAAAGAATTTTCAAATTAAAAAATTTTTTTAAATTATAAATAAATAAATATTTTTTTAATTAAATTATTTATTTATTATTTTACGAAATAAATTATTTCTGATTTGTTATTATTATTTGTTATTGGATTTCGATGAAAATAATTAGTTTTTTAATATATTAAATTATTATTATTCTTTCTTATTAACACTAGGATTATTACTATATTTATTATTCAATACATATTCTGAAAATTATTTCATAAATGTGTTTTTTTAATTAAAAAATAAATATTATTTCTTTAAATAATCATTTCATTTATTATTGATTCAATTGAAATATATTATTTATTAAATAATAAATAGCTATGTTTAAAATAATTATTTTTCAATTATTATTTGAAATAAATTTAATTCAAATCTGATTAGTAGAATTGATTAATTTTTGAATGCTTTCTATGTGGCTTACTTTTGATAAAATTAATAAAAAAAAGTAAATAAAAAGAACAAATAAATTTAATATTCTTTAACACATAGATTCTTAATTAAAATATAAATATAAATATAATGCTGAAAATTTCATCGAAATCAATTAATACAAAAGCGACAAGCATTGAAAAATATAAAAATCTGTAAATTTTAAAAGATGATTGAATACATTCTATCATATCGAATCATGAAAGTTTTATCTTTAATAAATTAATATTGTTCAAAATATTGTTTTTAATATTATTTTTTAAATTCATTGAGAAAATAGCTTTTCGATAAGTTTGTGTCTAATTTTATTAAATCCATTTTTATTCAGATATTAAATAAAATATTAGAGATTTATTTAAAATTCAAAATATATATTATTTCAATTAAACATTAAACTTTATTTATAGATCTATTTCTAGATTTATGATTCCGGATATATTCCGGTTAATGTTCACACAAAATATATATGTTTTTAAAACAAATGACATAATTTCTTTTTGTAAAAATTGGTAATTTTATAAGTTTGTAATTGTATTATTTTTCTCTTAAATCAATAAAAAACTATCTTTTATCAATAAATATTATAATATTTGTATAAAAAAATAATATTTCATAAATAGTATATTAAAATATTTTATATTAAAATATAAATATATATATTTGAATAAAAAAAATTTCATAAATACAAAAGAAACTATAATGAAAAGAAATTTAATTTAAAAAATGGTCTAATTGAAAGATAGGATTCTTATAAAAATAATCGAAATCTTAGAAGAAATTATTTTTGCAAATGAATTTTTTTATACCTACAATGATTAAAATATAAGAGAAATAAATTCTTCTGATAAATAATAATTTTTATTCGAATAATTGTTCAAATAAAATTTTTATTTTATTTTTTATTCGTTATGTTAATTTATTTTAAATAATATCATTCGAAAAACAAATTATTTCGATATTTTTTATTTTATTATTTTGTTAATTATTTTTTATATTTCTCTATGGAATGATTTTCTATAAAATTTCTATTATTCTTTTTCATACTTTTTTTAATTAAAACCTTCTTACATATTAAACAGAGTATTTAAATACACTTAATTATTCATTAATTTTTAATTTTCATTATTAGAAATAATCAAACATCCGATAAATAAGATTTTAAAATTTATTCGCAAACATTTTATTCCAAATAAAATTTATTTCTATCTATTGACAATAATTTCTTATTTTTCTTATTTTTTTTATTTGTATTTAAAAAAAAACATATCTCACATGTTTCACATTGTCATAATAACATCCTTTAATCGAACAAATTTTATCAAGAGATGGCGAAAGAATAAGCATAATTTTCTTCCAACTTTTCAATCTCCTTCGCATTCCCTTGTCAATATAAAATCACTATTCGAATTGAATCCAATGAAAGACTCATAGCTCTGAGTTTTCATTCGATCGGAAAACGTGTTCCGTGTTCCATCGTAAAGTCGGTGCACGCTTTGGCCCAGTCTTTTTACCGAACGGCACAATGCATGTCCTCTCAAGAAAGGGAGAAAACGCAACGAGCCACGTGGAGAAGAACACACGAAGAAGGTAGTAATACACACCATGGTCGGGAAAGAGGACGGCGAACGAAAGAGGTGGAAAGGTAAGCCCGGTATAAAAGAGTCGTTGCGAGTTGGCTCGTCTGTTTTAACACTCTCTCAGTGGATATCACGGACAACTCGCGTCGTCGACTTAGACACCATCGACGGACTCGAGGATTCTTTCTTTTTTTTTTTCAACGACGAAGAAAAGACGAGAGGTGAGTCGCAAGAAGACTTCTCTTAATTCACGTTTGCCCTATTTTCGGCTTTTATTGTCCGACCCTCTTCTTTGTGGACGTTCGTGAACATTCGCAGTGGTTGTTGACGTGACACAGTTTCAACCCTGTTCGAGACCGGACTCGATTACATCGGTGGATGTATCTACATATTGTAACGAAGTTTCTTCGATTGATTTCTCGGTTCGAATAATTATTCTGAGTGATGCTGTGTGCGACATAGTGGCATGGCTTTTGTCGTGCTGCCTTTGCGTTTCGTGATGATAGTTTCTATTGATATTGTTTGTTGGTCTATTAGGAAATTTTTGGTATATTTTTGGAATTTTTTTAACATAATGTTTGGTTAGAGAATCAATAAATCATTATTAGAAATGGAATGAAATTTAAATTTTTAAAAAACTTGATTTTGAAACTTTGCGAAATTCTCGAGAATGCTTATTTCTTTTTTGGTATGTCTATTTTATTTAAATCTAAAAATTGAATAAATTTTTCAAATTCAGATTCGTAATAGTCAACAGTATATAATAAATATAATAATGTTCTTGGCTTGTATTGAATATTGAATTTTTATATTTATTTTTTATTTTTTCTCTATGAAAATTATTGTAAACGAATTATTGCAAATTTATTAATTGAAATGAAGCAATAATTTAAATATAAATTTAGTTTTTAATTTTTTTCGATTATTATTGAATAAAAAACAGTTCATATTGCAATTTTTCGTACGAATAATTTATACAAATTATTTTTCATTTTTGAAATTTTCGGATCACAAAAATTTCGAGATTTGTTATGTCCAAAATTTTTTGAATTTTAAAGATTTATTTGAAAGTTTCAAAATTCAAAATTTCATATCTCCAATCAAAACTATATCTAAGTTTAGCGACGAAAAAAGGAAAATAATAGATAATATACGAAAATTATACAGTTTTATTTAAGTATTAGTATTTTTATTTATTTTATTATTACAATAAAAATTATATTTATTTATTTTTTAGATTTATTATTATTATTTAGATGTCAATTTAAAACAACGGAATTTATAGAATATAATTTGTAAGATCTAGAATTTGAGGTCTAGAAAAAAAAAATTTGACGATGTATTAATTATGTGCTATGTAGAAAATATTTTCAAACATTATAATAATGAATTTTTTTTGTTTTTTTTTCTTTATTTTCAAAGAAAAATTTAGTATATTTTGAATAGTAAAATGCATTTTTTCGAATCATTATTATAAAATATTTAATTTTTGATCAATTTAATTTTCTTTTTATCGTTTTTTATTTTGAAAATTTCTTTGAATATTAATGGTAAGTTTTATTCCTTTTTTTTTATTTATTTCTTTTTAAATTCTTTAATAAAATAATGAAATACTATTTTTGTTATTTCTTCTTTCTTCTTAGAAAAAGATACGAATATAACTTGTGAACTTTTTAGATTTCATTTCTTTCGGTATTTATTTTTTTAATTTTAAGGGAAAATTACAAATGCACGTCTTCAAATATCGAACATTCCATAAATTTTTAATGAATTATATTTCTTCATTTTTTTTTAAATTTTCTTTTGGAGAAAGATAATAGAATATGTTTATTTACATATTGTTAATTAATGAGTTGAGAAAGATTTCATCTTGTCACTTTTATTTTTTGGTTTTTTCTAGAGAAACATTATATATTAAACTTCTTTTATATCAATTGCGAATTGCATTTCCTTATATTTTTTCATTTCCCTTCTTAATATAACTTTTTTTGTTCTCGAAAAATAAGAAAAAAGATAATAAAATGCTTTTCTTTAAAAATAGCCAAGTAACGTTTATTTGTCTACCGTTATACGACTGCATGAGAATTCTTGTCTCCAGCCGAAGGTCAGGATAACTTCAGTGTCAAATGAAATTTTCGTGGTCCTGGGAAAGTTATGTTAATTCTCGTGGTTGTTCCTCTCTCATTATTATATTTCAATTAATAATATCTTAATTTCTTTATGCAATGTTATTCACATCTTCGTGAAGAATAAACATAAAATAAATATAAGAATTATATAATTATATATATATGTAAATTTTTCCTTTTTTGTTTTTTTTAATCTATGATATTTACGATCAATTTTTTAAAGAAAATATTTAATAAATTTTATGATATCGTATCATAACAAATAGTAACTTAAATTATAATTATATTGGAAAGAAGAATATAAATTTTGACAAATTTTTCTTCATTTGGTGCATTTTCATATTTTATTTTTTTAATTTTATTATATTTTTACTTAATATTAGTTATTATTATCGCTTCTAGATTTTAAAATAATATTACTTGTATGAATATAGATAAAATTTCTTAAAATGCAGAATTTTTGTATATGAAATAAACAAAAGAATAGATTAATAAGTGGAATAAATGCATTTACACATCTAGAACGCGGTTTATCAAATATCATGGTAATTTACAATTCGAACATGACCTCATTTTCCAATGGATTTAAACTAATGGAAATTTTAAAAAATTTCTAAATTACCAGATAAAATACCATTAAAATTCTTTTGTTTGTTTACTATTCTGATGAATTAAAATATTTTTTTATTTTAATTTTTGAAGTTTAAAGAAAAAACTGTTGAATAATGTATTTATCTATTTCGTTGAAAGCATGTATATAATTAAAAAAAAATTGGATAATAATAATATATGAATAATTATGGATAAAATAATAATAGTTTTTTAATTAAAAGAATTGTATAAATGTGTAATATATTTTTTAAAATATATTAAAAAATTATTTATAACAAAACTATTATAATAATTAAAATATTATAAATATGATTATGAAAATAGAAGTTAATTTGTTTTTCATAAAAAATCATTAAAAAATTATTGAAAAAAATAATATTTTAAAAAAATATAAAAAATAATTAATTCATACA